TACGATAAAGTGATCTTATATTTACAACGTCAGGAAAAAAATTATGGTTCAAATGATGAGGATATTAAGTTTATAAAAAAATTAAAAAAAGAAGCTTTGAGAGAACGCTTTTATTCTACAAAGCAAATCAATCTTGATAATTTTGTTAATGTAATCGAATAATTCTATTAATAAAAATTTATAATTATATCGATTTTATGCTGACGTAATGAATTTGCACTGTGATGTATTAAATTGCATTGACGTAATTAATTTTTATTATCAACAAGCTAAAATAAAATTTTAAAAAGTATTTTTCGATCAAGCAAAATGACGGCTACAGCAAAATCATTTGAAATAAATATTTATTCCCGCTTTAATAAATCATTTGCTGATGAAAATATCATTGACTGATTCTTTATTTATAACACTGCATCAACTATAGCTTTTCTAAGGCTATTCCCTATAAAAATAAAGAAAAAAGAAACATTAGAATGTTTCTTTAAGTCAATCTACAAAAACTCCTTCCATTCAACTTACCTGAGGTCTCCAATACCGTTCCCAAGTTATTTCCTACAAAAATAAAGAAAAAAGAAATGTTAGAATGTTTCTTTTTAATTAATTTTACAAAAACTCCTCCTTTCAACTTACCTGAGGTCTCCAAGACGTTCCCAAGTCGTTCTCTACGAAAATAAAAAAAAAAAAGAAACGTTAAAATGTTTCTTTAAGTCAAATCACAAAAATTCCCTCCATTCAACTTACCCGAAGTCCTTCAAGATTGTTCTCAAGTCTTTCCCTACAAAAATAAAGAAAAAAAGAAATGTTAGAATATTTCTTTTTAATTAATTTTACAAATTCTCTCCTTTTAACTTACCCGAGATCTCCAAGATGTTCCTACAAAAATAAAGAAAAAAAGAAACGTTAGAACGTTTCTTAAATTAATTCCTCAAGCTCTGCTCCCTCCATTTGACTTACCCGAGATTTTCAAGACCGTTACCTGTTGTTTCCTGCAATAATGAATAAAGAAAGAAATGTTAGAATGTTTTTTTTAAGTTAATTCCCTAAATTTCCTCCATTCAACATTTATTTCAACTTACCTGAGGTCCTTCAAGACCGTTCTCAAGTCATTTCCTACAAATATAAAGAAAAAAGAAATATTAGAATGTTTCTTTACCCAAACTCCTCTTTAGAACTTTACTATTTTTCGTTTTTCCCTAAAATCTAGAAGTGCGTTTCCTACAAAAATAAACAAATCCCTTTTTTTTTAAGAAAAACCAAAAAATCGATTATAATTATTAATAAAACTATTTTTTTTTCAGTTTTTTAAACTGAATTTATATGGTGGCTGTCACCTATAAACCACACTAATATTATGTGACTTCAAATTTTTATAAATTGTAAATTGAATAGTAAAAAGAAAAAACTAAACCGATAAAATGATAGAACAACATGTACTGAACATTTTTATCAGGTTATTTTATAGAATTTAATAAGAATTTTAATTAATATTATGGGTTAAAGTTAGATAATTTTAATAAGTAGTCATAATAAAAACATAAAATTTCGGACTAGTTTTTATGTAATTTTTATGGATTTTACAAAAATTCCATGGAAATCCACAAAAATTCCATGTAATATAGCAAAAAAAAATTTTGCCGCTTACGCGGCAATTATTATATTTTAGCAAAGTACTTTAAAAATAAGTTACACAATATAAATAAATAAAATTTTAAATTTCGGACTATTATTAATATTGTTGTTTATAGGTGACGACCACCATATTCAGTTTATTACTAGTAACTTTTTTTTTTAAAAAAAAAAATTATCCACAACGATCAGTCAATCAGTGGTAAAATCAGTATAAATCATATGACCGAAATGAATTATTCAGTATAACATAGTTATACTGAAGAATTCGCTATGTTACACTGAAGAATTTGTTATAGTGTTAACGAAGTTGCTTATAATGAAGGCCTGATCGGCCAGAACGCAGGGTTCATTATATTGAGAAGAGACTGTACTTGACTTCTTTCAATTCTTAGCGCTCTTTTATCACTTTCTTATAACCTATATTATGAAATGATTGGTAATTCGGAATAAAAAAAATGCAACTAAACTACTCTTATTTTTTTGATTAATTATTATATTAATGATTAATCATTGCAAAAATTAAAGCGCTAATTGTATGCAAAGCTAATTTAGTATTCAATTCCCACTAATTCGCCAACTCACTCCAATTATATTCTATATAAATAAGTCTTTTTAGCTCTTCCTTTCTTTCAGAAAATTAAAAGTATTTGCATAGTAGAATAAGGAATAAACTCAAATATTTATCAAAAAACATAAAAATAGAAATAATCAATATTATACATGCCACCCAAATTATTTTGGACTGCCGTAATTAGTATAAGTAAAATCCCAAATTCAATTATGGCATCCCAAATTATTTTGGCACTTTACATAGTAAATTATATATAAACTAAATGAATTACAGCATTCCAAATTATAATTATAACATCTTAAAATAATTTGGGCAGCATATATAATTAATATTACCAAACCTCTAATCACTATAAGAGGAACTTTTGGAATGAGATTGCAAATAAATAAACTAAGCAAATAATACTAATTACTTTACTGGTAAAGACTGCAATAAGAAATTCTTAGTTCTAACTTGAGTATATTATGTAAGTTATATAATAATTGAACAGTTGGAGATATTTTGCATATACTTAATCTGACTCTGATTTGATATTTTTATTATATATAAATGGACAAGACCTATAAGAAAGTTAAGGCAAAAGCTAAAAGAATCTTAAAGGATTAACTATTAACTAATGAGAAATCTGAAGTTCATTTAAGTGAATGATCATCAGCTAAAATAGGACCCTGAATATTACTAAAAAAACTCAGATCTGAATTTGTATAAATCTTATAATTAATTTCTGTTCCAACTTCCAAATGTATAAAATTACATGTAAATTTTATCCTCAAATTTTGCTATCTTAGGATCCAGTAATTGGATTTTAATAATCTTTGGTATATTAGATTCATCTCAACAAGACGAATATTTTGATATATGATTCATTTTTTTTAGGTGTAATATTGATTAAGATATCTCATTTTTAAATTTTAGTTACACAAGATCTGAGTTGTTTTAGTAATGTTTGGGGTCCTGCTAGAATGGTAATTAAAAAGAAGAGAAGTATTATTGAAAAGCAATATTATAAAAAGTTCTTTACAGAATTTTGGAAAGAATTTAATATTTGTTTTTCTGATATTTATGTTTACTTTAATAAATTTAGAATATTCTTTCTAAAATATTTATTGTTTCTAGGATCATAACGTTCTACAACACCATATAATATAACTATTCAATCAATACTCTTAAGTCTCAACATCTGGTCCTTTTAAAACCAGTTCTGATACTTCTTTCTTTTCACATAAATATCAAGACCTGTAACATCTAATATTGCTATCTAAAACTTATTTAATGATAAAATTTAAAAATCTGAAATTTAAAAACTTTATTTTTAATGAAAAATTGGTAAATCTGAAATTTTCCTAAATTATAATTAGTTTTGAAAAAGCATAAAAACAGTTTCAGCAATTAAATTTATTATAAAAAATAGTTTCAGATTGAATTTTAACTAAACTAAAATTTTAAAAAAATAGTTTGGCAAACATCTTTAGTGACACTTTCTATTGAGACTTCTGTAGTCTCTAGACTTCTTATTTCAATACTCTTCACTTTCTCTCAAAGTGTAAATATAATTAATGTTAATATTAATTATGGTAGCAATACTTCCAAAAAAAATACTTTAAAAGAATAATAAAAAATATAGTGTTTTTTATTAGCAACTGTAAAATATTATTCTTAAAGTAAAATCTTTATTATATTTTTATAAAGAAATACAGTCAACTCTCTTTATAGTCACACATTTGGGACAGTCCATATTTGGTGATTTTAAAGAGATGTGACTATATAAAAAATTTCTTATATTTGTATATCATAATTCCGGCCAAAAATTAACATAATTTTAGCCAGAATTATACTTAAAACTTTATTGTATCGTAACTTCGCCAATATTAATCGTAGAGAGATGATCTTACCGCCATTCGATTCGTCTTGATGAGACGGTTCTAATGGTATAAAATACGTCGAAATACAATCACTAGATTAATTTCTGAAATTAAAAAAATATTAATGGTTTTGTGTAATAACTCTGCCAATATTGATCCTAGAAAGACAATCTTACTACCATTTGATTCGTCTTGATGAGACGAATCTAATGGTATAAGATACATCGAAATCCAATCACTAGATCAATTTCCGAAATTAAAAAATATTAAATGGTTTTTAAGT